CTTTTTAGTATGCTGTCTAGATTTGCCATAGCTCTCCTCCCCAGGAGAGCTATGGCAAATCTAGACAGCATACTAAAAAGCAGAGACATCACCCTGCCAACAAAAGTGTGTATAGTCAAGGCTACGGTTTTCCCAGTTGCAATGTATGGCTGTGAAAGTTGGACCATAAGGAAGGCTGAGTGCCGAAGGATTGAGGCCTTTGAGTTGTGGTGCTGGAGGAGACTCCTGTGAGTCCCTTGGACTGCAAGGCGATCAAACCGGTCAGTCCTAGAGGAGATCAACCCTGACTGCTCTTTAGAAGGCCAGATCCTGAAGGTGAAACTCAAATACTTTGGCCACCTGATGAGAAGGAAGGACTTACTGGAGATGAGCCTGATTCTGGGAACAATTGACAGTGAAAGAAGAAGGGGACGGCAGAGAATGAGGTGGCTAGATGGAGTCACTGAAGCAGTTGGTGTGAGCTTGAGTGGACTCCAGGGGATGGTGGAGGACAGGAAGGCCTGGAGGAATGTTGTCCATGGGGTCACAATGGGTCGGACACAACTAACAACAACAACACTTTAATTATTTTGTTCCCCCTTGCAAGCGGTTCTGGAGGTACAATCGAAGTGTGAAATGAAATTCTGTAACTGAGCTGCAGTTGCAGTCCTACCGCATCCCTCTCCCACTTTCTTCCCTCTCCCTCCAGACTCAGAGGCCTCAGTGCACCCGTGCCCCAGATCAGGAGCAACAGCAGCAGTCTCTGCAGCCACTGCTCTTCCGACCTGATTTTCGATCCAGCTGCCAAGCTCAGGTGCCTAGACAAAGAGCCGGGAAGGGGAAGGAAGGGAAGCAGCTGGAGCACGAGAGGAAGCGTTCTAAGTCCCTGGCTGCCGGGGCTCCCCTTCCCCTTGCCCTGCCCCTTTTCCTCCCCTCCAAGGGGCATTTCAACCTTGGGCCGCCAGCCAGCACGGTTCTTTCCCCTGGGCCGCGAGCACAGTGCAGCTGGGCGGGACAGAGCAGCGCTCCGCCTTTGGAGTCCCAGTCTGGAACTGCAGGGTCTTGGAGTGGGGACGCCAAATAGTCTTTTGTCTCTCCCCACAGAAGAGCCTGAGAAGGCCATAGGATTGCACCCTTCACCACTCGGTCTGTCTGAAAGCGAAGGTAAATGCCAGAGGGTTGCAAAGGAAGAGGAGGCCAGGACATATTTAGGGTGAACATGCCTGACAAACTGGAACAACGAAGCTGACTGAATACCTGTTTCGTGGAGCTGTGTAATTCCCATAACAGATGCAAATTCAGGCTTGTAGTCATATTCCACCAGCCTCATCTGCGCTATTCTTCTCAGCTGCTCATGCGTATCAGCCTAATTGGCCAAAGACATGTCGAAATATTTAACCAAGTTGAGTCATGTCAAGGGCTTTCCTGTATACACGCTGTTAAAGTCTGAGATGGCTGCAGTTCATTTTCCTCCTATTAATCAGCTCCCCTCAGCACTCTCCATGCTTCTGTTTCCATTTTGGGGTGAAGACAGGAAAATCTATCCAGCAGTGGCTCCGCTCTAGCGGAAAACATTTCCACTCATGAAAGCCAGGGCACCCCCTGTGTGCCAGCTTCCTCCTACGTCCTGCAGCCACGCGCGCCAGATTTGCAGGCTGGCCTTCCCTGTCCTAGCACCCTCCGTAGACATCGGACTACAACTTCCAGCATCGCCAGACACATCTGGAACCCAGCAGGACGTGATGCAACTGCCTGAGAGGGTTGCAGATGCCCTTGTGCATCAGGTGGATGGCTTTCCATTTCACTTCTAAAGCAGCGCTTCTGCTGAGTGATGTTCATCTGTCCACTTTAGCAATATAGCAAAAACGTTGCATTCTTTTCAAATAAATGACTATAAAAGTGCCCCGGGGATTGCAGAGGAAGGCATGTGGACACAGAGGGGGCTCTCCGATCGACACAGCCCACGCAGGCTTTCCCTGGATGACACTGGGCAGAGGGATAGCGTGCAGGATTTGAACCACGAGAGTAATTTTAAGTGGGTGACAAACTAGGTGGGGGATGCCTATTTGACCCTGATCTTGATTTCTGATTCACCCTACATTAAACTTCATCCTAATACACACGCACAATATACATCCAGGATACAGATTATCTTCCTTCATTTGATTTCATTAAAACCCTCAGGCAGAAAGATGTAAAGCAGGGGCAGCAGTAGGTGGAATACATGTTGACCAAAAACCAGCTAATCCAGGGGGATTAGATGTAGCGAAGATCATTGGTGTGAGAGAGAGGGTTTCCTAGAGCTTTGGGGCTCCATGTGAAAGGCTCAGGCCTCTAACCGTAATAAGCCACTCCCTAACACTTTCAGATAGGAAACAATCCTATCTGGAACCCTGGAAAATTGCTGCCAGTCAGTATCTGCAATACTAGGCTAGATGGCCAATGCTATGATTCCATAGGGGGCAGCATCTTTCTGTTCTTTTGTTACAGTTAAATGGAACTGGTAGTAAGTAATGGGAAAGGAAGACCCTCTCCTTAAAACCCCAGAGAATGCTGGATCAGATGCATAATTTCCAGACTTGGTAGAATGCAGCTTCCTAGGTTTCTACCCATTTTCCTCCCAGCTCTGACACCTTGCTAGTTTTTAAGCCATGAGCAACACCTTAAGAATGTTTGGTATTTTTCTGACTATAAGACGCCCCCATGTATAGGACGTCCCCCCACTTTTCTTACTGACCTCTGAGTGAGCAAGCTGCTGCTGCACATGTGTGCCCACTGCCTCCCCCCCCCCCCCCCCCTTCCCCCCCCCCCCCCCCCCCCCCCCCCGAGCGTGCCTGCGGTTCTCCTCTCAGCCCCCCGTGTATAAGACACCCCTTCATTTTTAGGTAAATATTTTAAAGCTAAAGTATCATCTTATACACGGAAAAATACAGTACTTTACCATTCTGTCTGTTCATGTCCAAGTTTAGGGACTGGTGTACCACCTCTGAGGGTAAAGACCTTCACAAGGCATTGCACAAACAAAACCATTAAACATTTTTAAAAAGAGCAATCGTGTCAAATCAAATCTTGAAAATTCCAAAGATCAGCAGCAGCGTTTGGAGGTACAGACCAATCCCCTTACTTAGTTAAAAGTGGACTGAACAATGTGATCTTGAAGACTCATTTCACAAACTACCTAAGCTGCAGCCAGATGCGCATCCAATGGGAGGCATTCCAAAAGAATGAGCTACCACAGAAAAGTCCCTAGCTCTTGTGCCCACTGTAATTTTCTAGTGTACTCACCTCTTGGATATTTTGTTTGGCTCGTCTATCAGATGGATGCATGACTGTCCCCATAACTTTCATGTTTCCACAGACAACCAGGGCTTCATCTGGTGTGTCCGTATTGATTCCGACTTGACCATGACAAGTGATGGTTCCAGGAGTGTGTCCTTGTTGCCAAAGAGTATCACTGTCGGTCTCAAACTGTCCAGGGTTAGAGGCCTGAAAACATTTTAAAGCCTTAACGTAACACAAATTAGCCTCCGGGAAAAATTTGTAGCATGCAAATCTTCCCTAAGACCTGTGCTTTGTGCTTCTTTCTGACAAAACAAAATTGACAACAAGCAGCTTCATTTAGGAGTAGTTAATCAAATGATTAATTATAATATGGGAATATAGGTTATTCCTAGTGGGGGAAACTTTCAAAATCAAGGTAATAATTTCCAGTGGGGTAACTATTTTGTGAAGTACTCTCTTGCTCAAGCAAACATAAAAAAATGCTGCTTTTAACAAGGCAAACCTTTATTGTTGTTGGACTACATTTATAACCTGACTATTTTCCTCTTGAAAGAAACTCAAGGCAGTTCACCAAATCTTCCTCCTCTCCATTTTTATCCGTACAACAACCCTGTGAGGTGAATCAAGCTGACAGCCAGTGACTAGCCCAAAATCGTCCAGTGAGCTTCAAGGCTGACTGGCAACTAGAAGCCAGACCTTCCAAACCCCATTCCAATGTAAGTCTAGCAACCTGAATGGCTTCAAATAGCATTTGCTGAAAAAATTAACATTTACAACCCAAATGGCTAATGGCTAAAGTCTTGTAAACCATCTGTCATTTTCGGTAGTTTCCCCAAAGCATACATGGCATGAAGATTCCTGACAGATTCTAGTCTGTTAATCTGATCAGTTCCTACATACTAAATAAATAATTCATAAATAAATGTCCGCAAAGATGGTGTATCTCATGAAGGGCTACTAGTCACACAAGTCCGGAGTTACCACCGTTCTCAGATGCAATGCGTCTTTGCCTGTCAGTTGGTTCGGAACCCCTACAGAAAGCTATTACTGCATTCGTGTTCCTCTCGTGCATTTCCCATGAGAGGCCGGTGGCCCCTGCGGAAACAGAGGACGCTTGCTCCAATCAAGCAAGGCTCTTCTTATTTTCTTATAAGAACCTCTCCCGTCCTTCAGGAAGATGACACTAACTAGTGGGAGAGAGCAAAGACGTCTGAAGAGAGAGCGAAGCTCTGCTCAGACAGCATAAGGCTCCTCTTCCCACACAGACAGCGAGCACACGGGTTGTGGGAAGAGGTACTTCTCTGCAATGTGATCAGGCAAATTGACCACACTGGCAGCAGTCAGGAACCCTGAGAAAGCAGGCTCTGCATGTGTGCTTGAATGGGCATCACAGCCGGAGGCCGAGCCTGTTCGTACTCACGGATAAAGAGTGTGCTGTCTGAACAGGCCTAGAAAAAGTGGCGGACTGTTGTGCGAGTTGTGAGCCACTTTAGGGTGAAAGGACCCTCTCTGGGAAACTAAGCAGGAGTGCAAATATGTTGTTGGCGGTAAACATTCCTGCTTGCTTCAGATATGTGCTATATATATCTATTTGCATGTGCTGCGAATATTGCAGGGACTCGCTTAACTGTCCAGGATGTCTCATCCAAAGGCAAGACTGTGGCCCTAAACATGCCTACCTAGCAATCTCCTGAAGTCCGTGCCACTCCCCAAGGCTTTCACTGCACGAGTCGGAATGACTAGCTAGCACAACCCAGGCAGCCAGCCTGAGCAACCATTTCGGGAATGGAGCAATGATGAGGAGGATTTTTCTTATTAATTGCATTGCTATACTATCCAGTGGCCAGAATTTTCTGCGTGGTTCCGAACAATTCAACATAAGTACATTCATAAAAATGGATACAATAAAAATCCCGATACGATAAAATATAGTGTAAAATTCCAATTTACAAAACTTTAAAAGTTTAAACATCTAACAAAATTCCAGTAAAATCTAGACCTATTGAAACTGCTGACATAGCACATCATTTGCCACTAAATCGCCAAAGAGAAAGCAATGCTGGGGCCAGGTGGGTCTCAGTGGTAAGGGGCTCCCACTGAAAAGGTCCCCCCACTTGTTGCCTCTTTCTGGGATTCCCCTGAAGTTATCAGTTGACCAGTGGTAGTTTTGGCTGGCCTCCTGGATTGTGCTCGCCAGTACTGGCTTCCCATTGTATTTGCAGTCACTGGAACAGAGGAAGCAGACTTATACTGAAGCACAATCAACATGGACTACCAGTAGCTCTGCAGGGTTGCAGGCAAGAGTTTTTCCACCCCTGCCCGGAGACACCGGGGATCAAACCTGGAACCTTCTGCAGGCAAAGCATGTGCTCTACCCCTGAGCATGCTATGATTTCTGCAAGCACATCATTTTTAGCCCTGGTAGATTGCCAGCACTGGATAGTGCTGGACTGACTTCTGAATAAACATGCCAAGGAGAGTACTGCAGATATGATCATCATCCCTGGAACCTCCTAGAGAGGTGGGGCATGTGCCTAATAGCGCACACATGTGTGTGATACAAACATCATAATCCTTTCCTTCCTGTATTAACATTTGTTTAAAAAAATAATAGCATGCTAAGCAAAACAGTGTCGCAGAAACTCACCGTTCATTAGAAAAAGGCTTCTTACACACACACACACACACACACACCCTCTGCCATCTGTAGGATGCAGAGCTAAGCATTTTATAACTAGAGCATGATCTGATATGCCTGTTAACCACAGCTGAGTAGGTAGGTTTCTAAGCTGCCTACGGTGGGGCGAGCAAATCACAGCACATGTTTTCCTTTCTACAAAACACTCACTAATCCTTGCCACACATACAGGCCGAACCAAGATTGCAGGTGCACAAGCTTTTGATTTACAGAACAACCGTGGCATTCCAGGGCTCTCCACTCGCACCCCACACTTTCCTCAAAGGGTTCCAGACATGGACCATGGTTTGTCCCCTTTTGTATTCACAACAATCCTGTGAGGTGGATCAACCCTCAGAGGCAGTGACTGTTCCAAGGTTTATCCAGAAAGGTTTGTGACTCAGCAGAGGTTTTAACCCAGCAGCGTGGATGCTTCCAGATGGAGGGCTACCGCGCTGCCAATCAAAAGGCATCCTGCAATGATTCCTTCTTGCCCTAAGATCATTTTTATTTTATTTTGCTAAGACAAAACTGGTGGCAAGGCACAGGATGGTTCCAGATGGGAAATGATAATCTCTCCCCACCACCCCCAAATTCTGCCACTGAGGCAGGGTCCTTGCGCAAGGAAAGCTTCATTGGAAAGCTACCACCCTTCACTAGACCAGCACACTGACACTGCCAGATGTGCTTTTTGCTATTCACTGGAAAGCAGAAAGGAGCATTTTGCTCTTACCAGCAGCAAACCAGACACCTATGGAAAAAGGCCTATATTTGACAAGAGTATCAGAGGAGCTTTGTGCTCTGGAAAGTTTTTAATGCCTACTAGAATCCCAAGCAGTCTCAATAGTAATCCAGCCACCAAAATCCATATTAAGTACAGAAAGCCTCTGCAGTGCCATGTTCTGGAATCTAGATCTTTTTGAAATTTAAGTAATATTCATTGGGCTTACCCTGACAATTATCTTTTCCGAGACATGAGCAGCCACCAGATAAGACTGGTCTTGACTGAAGGCGTATAATCCAGCCACTAGCAAGAAGTATCTACATTGATTTAAAAGAATTAAAGAATAATTATGTTAAGCAGAAAAGCAATCCTTGCTCACCAAAACCCAAAGCAAGGATGAGGCCCCATCACCAGGACCACAACACAAATGACAAATAATGTGTGGATTGTTACACATTGTTATAGTGGGGTTTATATGGGGCAGATCAATATTCATGGAACAGAGAAAGGGTGGGGGAATGATGAAGGAGTTTAATGGGAAGGAAACTTAAATCAAAATAAAATTCAAATTAATGTATTGATGTGCTGGCACTTGGACCCCACCTTTGCCTTATATTCAGTGCTCTGAGCAGGTCATGTGTCCTTTGCTATGCTTTCTCTGTCAGCCATTTTGTGTTGGTGGTCATGACAGTTTCTGAAATGGCCCTATGTGTTCATGCCCCCAAAGTTTGCTGACCTAAATGCTTCCTGTCAAATACGATACCTCTGATCAGGGTTAGGTTTCCCCTTTTTCCGCATATTATTTGCAGTTGTTTCACCGAAGTGCAATCTTGCCATGGTTACTTTGGTTACCTGGTCTCCTGGAAGATCAACTCTAATACACAGAAGAGAAAAGCACAGAGATTCCAGCTAAAATATGAACCAGGGAAGTACCGGATCTGAGGTGAGGAATCAGAATTCAGTGAGCAGAATATTTGTTCCTTACTAACTGCATTTCTCTCTTCATCCCTTTGAATTAGAGCTTGTTCACCTTGAAATATGTATGTATGTATGTATATTTAAACCTGAACTTTCTGCTCCCCTCTTTGCCCACCTGCATCCCAATTTCCATTTCATCTCTCAGGTGCAGTGCCCACCAATTTGCATATTATGACAAGATATGACAAAAGGACTAAGGGGAATGATGCCAGATTTATTACTGAGAAGCTACTGGTGAGATAACAACGGTTTCTATAATTTTAGAACAGTATTTGTTATAAACACTCTCCTCAGTTTGAAACTACAAATTCCATTAATTGTGAGGAATTACTGGGGGGGTTTTGGAGGGGGGAGGTTGGGGGGGCAGGGATACTCACCACAATTATACCATTCCTCCATCAACAAAAGCCTCCTGAAATTTCACAAAGGAGCTTAACAAGCTCTACACTCGTGTCAATGGCAGCTTTTTTGCTCTTGTTTTTTTATTTACCCACCTGCACATGGGAGGGACTTCAGAAAAAATATGGGACAAGGTTTAATCTTCCCCTCCTTGCACACAGTGGTCCAGCTGGGAATGGAGGACATACACTTAGAGTAAAATGTAGCACTACGCAATTAACCTAACTTGTAGTTTGACCCTGAATCTTTGGGCATTCGCGTATTCCTCCATCTTATTGTTCTAGATTCCTTACAACTTGCTTGTATCACTGAAAGGACATATCCCTCAGTTTAAAAACTGCCAGCAAAAGGATTTTTCTCTCACACCGTACTGCACTTTGGAAGTATCACTATGCGTCTCAGCAACAGAATGACACCCTAATCTGAATTTAGGCAGAAATACGAGGCATTCTAGACAATGGCATGGAAGTGTTCCAGCAGGCATCAACTGTATCTCAAGGTGCTTCCAGACAAATGGCTCCTCATGCTCATAAATAATTGCTGCTCCAATGCGAGCCGCAAGTAGCATTTCAATTAATCTGTCACACTATTGGGGGATTTTCTGCACTTTTCTGTGTGCACATCCTACCATATTCCATCCACACCGGAGAGCTTGGCATAATTATTTCATCTTAAAAGGGCACGGTTTTGAAGTGGGCTGCAGCTTATCAGGAAGCTGATCCTATTGCAGCTCAGCACACAGTAACTAGTCCCTCGGGGGCAGGTGCCATTCGGAACCATTTGGATCAGAACACTCTGCCCTGAGAACTCAAGTAGCCACATCCTTTACCTCAAGCTCTTCCCACCATCCTTTTCACTCACAGATGACCAGAAAGCCTAACATCTTTCCAATGAGCTTGTACCAAAAAGGGGTAAAGTGCTGGAGAGGAGAAACTTGGAGGTCCACAGGTTCTAGTGGGCACATAATTTCATTGCAGTGGCAAACCTGGAGTCTGGGAGTGAAACAGAAATGTGCCTAGATCAATCTTTTGGACTGTGCTTTATAGTGGTGTCCAGCTGAATGTGGTTATGGCGCCCTCTGCAGGCCTTCCTTGCCACACTGGCTTAATTAAGACGCGGTGCATGCCAGGCACCTTTTGCCTGATTACCTGCCCGAGTACAGCTTGTTAGATGAACCGAACCCAGGCAGCATGGCTTGTGCGAGAGGGAAAGGAGCCTCAATCACCCACGACCTGTCAATGGGGTATTTAAGGAATGCTTCCCTTTAGAAAAAGCCACGCCACACGGTTTCAGATGGCACAACGCGCCATGGCCAGGTGGGTGATCAGGGGTCCAGCACACACTTGGGTTTAAATAAGCCATAATTCAGGGGTCCTCAAACTTTTTGAACAGGGGGCCAGTTGAAAGGTGCCGGCGATGTGTGTGGGCAGCCAAAGCGGTGCGGGAGGGTGGCGTGGGCTGGGGGGGCACACGCGCGGCAAGTCGGGGTCACAGGGCAAGGTGCCGGCTTGCCCGCGAGGAGATCGTTTTGGACTAAAAGGATCTCCTTGCGCGCAAGCCACAAGGCACTGGCGCCTCGTCGCACGCATGCATGTGTGGCGGGCTATGGCGGGCCGGATAAACGGGCATGACGGGCTGCATCCAGCCCGCGGGCCGTAGTTTGAGGACCCATGCCATAATTGGTAGTGATTGTGCAAAATGGGCCACTGTGTGTTTCTTCACTTACTTAACAGGATAGAAAGGTTTTTTGCTTCGGTTGGGCTGAGATTGTTCGATCACAATAACTTGATTGGGAGCTTCCATCTAAAAATGGAATAATAAGAAAAGTGTTTAGGATGTGATTTTTAAAATGTTATGATGTTTTAACTTATTTATTGTAAGCCGCCCCGAGGCTTCGGCGAATGGGGCGGCATAAAAATGTTTTAATAAAAATAAATAAATAAAATAAATAATAAATTTTTAATAACAAGATTTACAAAGGTTGAGCATATCTATGAGGATATGGGGGTACACCCTGACTGCCTGAATCCTTTGCGGGTTGCAGAAGTAGATGGGACTAGTGAGGCCATCCCTCTCTCTCTCTCTCTCTCTCTCTCTCTCTCTCTCTCTCTCTCTCTCTCTCTCTCACACACACACACACACACACACACACACACACGAGTGCAGTGCAGAGGGAAGGATTCCCTATTAGCAGCATGGAAACAACTATTGTGTTTAGGATCATTGGGGCAGGAGGGGTTACAGTCTCTCTGTGTCAGTCCACCAAGGAATCTTTATTACGCCTGGGGAACAGGCCATGAGAATGGCATTCACCGCCTGTTTCCCAGAAGGATTAGCTAGTGTTGGTGCAGGCCAGGATGGGGATGGAGCAGGCACTCCTAATGAACTGCACAGGGACCCACTGAGTGCTGCATGCAGCCAAGGGTCGGCCACCCCTGGTCTACACTGGCTGGCAATGGCTTTCCAGGATTACGCTGAGCGCCAGTCCCCATTCAGCCAGGACGCTCACTGGGTGATTCTGGACCAGTCACAGACTGTCAGTGGAGGGTTGTTAGTGTGAGCGTTACCGTGGATTAGGGAGAACTATGTAAGCCACCTTGGGCTCCTCCCTGAGGGAAAAAAATGCAAGATATGAATGTGCTACTAGTAATAAGTAGCACATTCTGGAGGAATGTTGTCCATGGGGTCACGATGGGTCGGACGCGACTTCACAACTAACAACAACTAGTAATAATCCTCCCCTCTCAATTCCTGTAATCATGGGGAACTAAGTGTGTGACTAAGCTATTACAACACTGTGGAAACAGAAGTTGTTACTGTTGACCATCTGCTTGCTAGACAAAAGTTTGGCTGGCAACCATAATGACGAAGAGAAATGAAAGACAGACACACCTTAATACCAAAAGTCTTCAAGTAAAATGTCTCCACTGGTTTTAGACCCAGATCAGTTTTGACAAATTTGGGACTTCCAACCACTCGAATGTAGACTGTGATCTGGAAGTGGTTCTTCTTCTGACAGATGAAAGCATAATCCACTGCTGAAAAATTAAATCCTTTGTTTGTAACGATGTGATATCCCAGATCTGGCCTACAAAAACAGGAATTGACTAACATGTGTGAGTGGAACAATATTTCAGTGACAACAAGTTCATACCATCCAAAGAAAAATATGAAGATATCCCAATCACAAATGTTTCTCAAAAACAACAACGCTAAGGAAAATGGAATTCTAAGCAATTCTTAAACTGCATTTTAACATCACACAGGAAGTGACTAGGACAAATCTACACTGTGAAAATCATCTCAGAGATGTTCAGCAGTGCTTCCTATGTACCCTTTTCAAGAGAAATTTTGCCACCTTCCACAAGAAGCAGATTGGCACATGTGGTGAAATGGCATGTAAAAAAATCTGACCATTTTCTCATACTGCACTCAGTTGAAAAGAGCCACACTGGCTACTGATGATATTCAGGACCTGATTCAAGGTACCAGCTTTAACTTTTACATTAAACCACCATTGCCTCCATGCAGATTTTCCATTTATTTACATAGAACCATCTACCTGCATGGCACTTTGCAAAGAAAATGTATGACAGCATCACTAAAGCTGAGTTAGTGGGATGAGCTTAAAATGTTTGATATAAATATTGTAACTCAAATTGTCTATGCTATTCAGAGAATTCCTCTATTTATCCCTTGCAAATGTTTTCAAAAAATTAATATGCTGCTTCATCAGTCTGGAGCTAGGAGTCACAAGGGCATAACAGATATAAGAGGGTGGGTTTCACAAAGGCGTTCCAAAGGCCAGCTGCAGGCATAAGGGGCAGTGAGGGGAAATGAGCAGAATTGTTTCAGGGATCACAGGACCTTTAGATGACCGAGGGACGGTGGGACTGGATAAATGTAAGTTATATGAAAGGATAGCTTGCAATATAAGCACAGAGAAATAAGGAAGGAAAGGCAATAGAGGGCTTCTGGGCATGCTGGCTGAGGATGATGGAAATTGTTGACCAACAACCTGGATGACACCAGGTTGGAGGTGGGCCTAGACAACTGTGGGTCTCTTTTCACACAATTAATATATCATTCCAAAGCAGTAGGACAAAACTTCAAGTCTTCACTATATAGATTTTACTCATTAATGAATGACTAAAGAATGATCTCTTATCACAGGTCACTGTGGAAAGTTTTTAAAAAAGGCGGCTGTTCAGGATTCATCCTCTCTTTGGCTGGTAAGGGTTGGAAGGGATTGATAGCTATGCTTTGCAAAAGATTTGTATCAGCCTTATGTTCTTCCAGGAGCAAAAACTAAATTTTCAGTTGGAGACTCACTTTCTTCATGAGATGTTAGTACACAGAGAGAATTACTTCATACATGACAAGTTCAATCACTTCTGAAAGAGCATCATAAAAAGATTACCAGATTTCAAACAGATAACCGAAGAGTCTTATCTTTAATTTTAAACATTTCTTCTTCTATATTGGAGAGCAAAGATTTAGGAACCCCAATTTTATCTTACTTGGGAATGAGAATATGCCATTGGTTTGGACAACAAAGCCTCAAAGAGTGTTGTTGATGATGACCTATTCCTAATTTTTAATGTAATGATTCCTTCTTCCCCTATCTTTAATAATATTGACCCCACCCTGGTCTCAAATCCTTGCTCCACAGGTTCATGTTATGGCCATCTTCCTAAAAGAGCCAAATCAACAACGAGCAATCAATCAAGCAAAGAGATGCTGATAGGAAGGCATCAGAAAAAATCCAGGGAGTGTGCCAATGACACACAAACCTACTCCTGGGTCACAGTAGTGAGGTCACAGAAAGCTACAGGATGCTTGGCCTAAACATTGAAACATGACTGGTGTCAGCACCAGGATACAATCCTCCAGCACACTTCACCAGAACATGTGGATCAGGCGAGATGAAGGTAGAACGAGAACCAAGCCTTGATGCAGGCAAGGGTTGGATGTTGCCAAAGGGTGGTAGGGCCAGAAGCAGCATCAAGAACAGGTGAGAGTCAGGACACAGGTCAAGATATTGCAGGACTAGAGATAGATGCTAAGTCAGAAGGCAGCCCCCACGAAGACTAGTGTTGTTGTGGCAAAGCTGTGCTAGAGCCCGGAGCCTTTAGAGAGCTTCTTGTGACTCCCAGCTGACCTACCTCAGTGGAACAAGGATAAGCATGTCCAGAGCTGACCTGCCAGTGTTTGCATGATAGAATGGGCTGCCCTCTCAATCAGATCACCTGGGATAGCCTTAGGCCCTGCAAATCCTGAATTCTGGTGTCTCCACAGTCTCTGACCCTGAGCACACTGAAAGATCAGTCTGCAACACAAATGCTTCAGGCAGTATTCTGTGCTATAGGCTGGCTTAAGACCAAGAGTGAAAGCCACAGGATAATATCTGGAAAGGCCAGCTCTTGGGACATCCCAGTACACACAGAGACAGGCTGAACCTTTTACATCCACTTCACTATTTTAGCGTCTCCAAAAGAACACAGGAAACTGTGACCTTTTGCAAGGCTGCTGAGAACTTTTGCGGTCAGTCTGAATTATTTGGAGTTCTCAGGGTTCCAGAGGAAGTAGCAATCTAAACAAAAGGTAGTACAAAGCTCCGCTCAGCATCATTCTGAAAAAACCCCCTATGATTCAATGTCTTTCTGTATCCTTTCATACCAACCTGAATATCACAATAAAAGGACTATGCATGATCATCACTTACAGTTTTTCATAATTATGGTTGAACAAGCTATTCCAAGAAGACATGCAATATGGTTGCCATGCAAGCGACTGACAGCATCCTCCCAGAGACCCTGCTTTCTGTCCATCACTGTCATATCCTGGCAGCTCCAAAGAAGGATCCTTAACAGTCACTGAGAAGAGATCAACACGGCAGTTCACTGTCAGAGTGGTGGCCCTGTAGGGTTGGTTCTGGGATCGATCTGGCAGGAAGCACAAGCGCCCTTGGGGAATCCTGAGGCATGGGCCACGCCTGTGCTACCTGATTCGGCTTACAATTAGACTGGGGCTGCGGCATCCTAATCTTGCTCACCACAGCACATTACAGCAAGCTTTTACTCTAGGATGGGCGAATGTGCCAATTTCCACTTCCGTCAGGTTCTGATTTTTCCAGTTTTGAAACTGATTCATCCCAAATATTGATTTTTACAAAAATAAGTACATGAAAAATTTTGTGCCATTATCTCCTAATACATGCATTTTGCCTAATACCTCATTTTCCAAGTATTTTTCCTAATACTATGCATTTCTAATGTGACATTCACTAATATATTCATTTCTCTGTGTTTCCCCACAGTACACTTTTAAACATTTTTTAAAACCATTTCTACCTCAGTACAATAATAAAAAGCAGCATCAATGAATAACACAATAAAATCCATATTAAAACCATATTAAATCTTAAAATATTGGAAAAATAAAAAGATCTTGGCCTGGCACCAAAATGAATAAAATGTCAGCACCAGGCTCACCTCTCTGGGCAGCACTTTCCAGAGCTGGGGCTCCACTGCAGAGAAGAGCCTTTATACCGGAAAACTGAAGCACTCACACCACTTCTTCCCTGAAAACCTGCTTTCCAAAAAGGACCTTTTGCAGCAGCAAAGCAGCCACGAGGTTCAGTGGCTTCAGCGTCAGTTGTTTGGATCAAAGTGAAATGATAATACAAGCATCTTCTGTTCAAACGGGCTAGTATTGGGCAGCAAGATTAATACTGGGCTCTATTATAATGAACTAATGTTCGTATTGATACACACACTCCTTGTTACTACTTCCCATCTTGAGCCGGCAGAGCATTGACAACTATAAATCAAAAATAAACCAAATAAAGCTAAACTTTGTCATACAGGCACCTTGGGAAAGGAGAATGCTGGCGATCCTCTAGACAGGAGGCAGCATATTGTGTGCTCTGTGTTTCTCAGATAGTTTCCAGCCCCACTTGAAGTCTTGCATGTATGGGGTGAGGGGTATTCTACATATGTGTATTTAGGGTTACTTTTTAATATGCTTACTTGGTCCCATATTGCTAGGCCATGATAGAAATTCTAGTTGGTCTTCCAGCAAGTCAGGATGCTTTCTCTTTTTCGATATCAAGGGAAGGCTGGGGAAGATAAAGAATATTATCCATTTTTAAAATAAGTAATACACCAATGCAAAGAAAAATATTTGTTTAAAAATGCATAGAAAACATCAGCTTTTTCTCCAAACCACCTGCAACTCCCTTCTTTGTGCAGCACTTTCAAAAACATTGTTGTGTAAAGCGGATTTCCCATACCTCCTGTCTCCCATTGGCCATGCTGGCTGTGGATGATGGGAGCTGTAGTCCACATAAATGGAGGGCACCCAGTTGTGGAAGGCTGTTTTAAGGTGGGGGGGTTAAAATTGACTACCCCCCCCACCTGCTACTTGCTGCTGTATTTAATTTCATTCCCCCCACACAATTATTTTAGATTCAGTGCCTGAGTTTAGTATATATGTATTAAGGGTGCTTCCAGGCAGGGGGTTCCCAGCAGTGCCAATCAAAGGTGCTTAATGGATTTTTTTCCCTTGGCAATGTAGAAAGTTTGATGTAGCTATGGGAAAACAAAGGAGAGGGATAAATGAAAGACTGTAAATGTATGTCTGAGGGAGGGCAATCATAGAATAAAGACCTTATCTTGAAGCATCCTTGATAAGAAGACAGAGCAAACTGAAATTTTCCCATGCAATCACATTCTTACCTCTTCTCCACCTGCTATGTTTGTTATCAAGTGACTGAGACGGGTCAAGGCTTTTGGCACAGTAATGGGACATTGATCCAGTTTCCATATAAAACAATCATTTATGTTCTGCCAGATGTTCTAAACCACCCAGACAGCTTTGGCTATGGGGCGGTATAGAGATAAACACCCAGTCAATGGCCCCAGTTGAAGAAGAGATAACTTGTTTAAGCCTAATGAAATGAAAAATGCAGCACGACCTGCATGTGTGTTTGTGTGTGGATGGCTGGATGGATGGACGGATGGATGGGAGAAAGGCGGCAACCCTGGTCACACTAGCTTGGGAGTAAATTCTAGCGCAGGGCTGAGCTGTTAAACACTTAAATACTGCCACCATGTGGAGACAGGAAAACATTATTCCACAGGTATTAACTTAATGCTGAATCTAGATCAAGCAGGCTGAATTTATCCCTCCACAGCCAGGTGGCCTCCAGGTGTGTTGACCTGTAACTCCCATAATCCCTAGCACTGATGAGAGTAAGAGCCCAACACCACATTGTACAAAATGGAGGAAAGCTGTTCTGGGATTTTAACTGTGATTTTTCTACTAGACCTTTCTTACTAAGAATTCCAGCTGCATCTCTCTCTCTCTCTCTCTCTCAATCCCTCTCTCCTTTTTCTTATATCAATATAAATGATAAATTACTTAGCACTGGGAGAGGTTCTTGGTGAGGGACAATTTAAACCAAGACTACTGGAAGATGCAGAGCTGCTGCAAGGAGGAACAATATCATCAGACTTCAGAGCGCAGTCTTGTGGTGTGCCGTAAGCTTGCCCAACAGAATTCATCTTGGCAGACGTCTCCAAAAAGTTGCAAGGAAAGTTAGTGGCAGGTCCTAAGGAAGGGTGAGCAGGTGGGTGTCCAGGTCCAGTTGAACATGAAATGTCATAATGTGCAACTGAAAAGAGAATGGTGGGCAGAAGTGACCATTCAAAGTCTTGACTTCATATGAACGATTTTTTTAAAACTTCAGACTCCCGAGAAATTAGGACATATGCAACAAACCTTTGGATTGCGGAGGTGAACAAGGCTCCGATCCTGAATCTGGTGGAGAATCTGGTAGCTTGTTTTGCCTATATTCAAGGGGAAAGGGGAGAAAGTCATTCCACTGCTAACAAAAATGTAGCTTCTCAATTACAACGTGCGATTTTTATACATTTCAGTGCTGCAGGTGTGACTTTTATTTTAGATCTGCATGGATGCAAGCTATTAAAATGTCATTCTCCACTGGCACCAAGAGAATTTTTTACCTTTTTTTCTTATTTTTAAAAGTCTCTGTCATGTGAGTGGAGAGAGATTCTGAGAAGCAGACAGGTGAAAGAGAAACGTTTGATCCACTCTGCCTCCTCCTCTACACATTGGTCCTCAGCCAAACTCTGGTTTTGTACACTTAGTCTCAAGTTTAAAAAGAGTAGGTTCAGCCACAGACTACACAATTAATGCCACATGACATTGCCCCTCTTAGATGCTGCTTTGACCTGACTGATGTGCATCCTATAATATTTTCCCTCCTCCCAAACGGAGAGTAGTTTAACAAGTATTACCAGAAAAAAATATATAACAGTGTTAGGAATGCATGCAATTGGTTTGTAAAAGATTAAGATACCAGGGCTTGGCTTGAATCCTAGAAAAGTAAACTGAAAGTGCCATCTTATGCCTGGTTAGACAGAAAAAGGCCTGCAACTCACAGCGTGCCCCAGCCAGGCATAGGCTTGGGCCACTGAAGAGATCCATGGAAGGAAAGTTTGTCCTCCCTTCCTTTCCCTTACAGGCTCCTATGTCACCTTGCTGGAGTGCCAAGAGGGGCGTGTCCCTGGAATCATGTAGGGCAGGTACAGATGGAGCTGTAACTGGGAGGAGGGAAATGGGATGCTTCTTTCTGTGAACTTTCATTCAATGAGGGTTTTTTTCTTTCTTTCTGTGAATGTCCTCCATATCCAAGCCACTGGAAAAGAAAAACTCATTTTCTGCTATTTCACACATTTTCAAGCTTTCCTGCTTTTCATTGATGGGCAATGGTCACTCTTCTTTGCAAAACACGTTACCTATTTCACCCTATTTCAGACACCTATTTCACCCTATTTCAGGTACTTTACATGTGGATTTTCTGAGTGCCATCATAACAGCTGAAAAAAGAAAATGCTGTGGAGAATTGTGTGCACATCTTTCTACTTACAGGCTTCCAAACAATTCAAAGTCATTCTCGAGAAATTCTTCCAACATATGCGTATCCACGAATCCATTCTCCAACACTCTGTGCACATCTTGCCCTTTGGATTAAGCATGCAGAGAGATGCCTGAGATTCTTTCCACAGGCCATACACAACAGCACCAAATGGAGTACCTGGCAGGGGAAGAGCTCATATTCTGCTTCTTTCCCAGAGCGAGAGAACCTATATGCCATCACGCGACTGCTCTTGTTTCCAAACGGCAGCCACTTACTTATGTCTCCAGACTTTTCCTCACTTATTCTCTCTCGCTCAATGGTGCCGTCAGGACAGGACTTTGCGACACCCTCAGAACAACAAACAAGAAGGCCCTCAAAGCAGCGTGGCTGGCTTTGTACCAGACAATGAGGTACATGAAGCAAGATATATTACCTTCCAGAGAGAGAAGGGGGCATGAAACATGGATCCTAGAGGTTTACTTCTGTTTTTTTTTTTTTTTTTAATTTTCAGAGCATCAAAATGCATGATGGGGTTCATTATTACTATTGTTGTGGCTTTTGGAGCTCCATACACCCCATCCTATGCAGCTGCCTTCTTAGGATTTGAGGGGGGGAATCTATCAGGGAGTAAAAGGCGCTGCAAAAAGAAGCGGGGAGTTGACATCGCTCCTTTTTAGCTGGAAGCTCAGGGAAGTGTGGAAAAGATGGAGTCACTGAGAACTGTTTGTTCAAGCCAGAGGCTTGGATCAGTCTCCTCCTCTCCTCTCCTCCTATGCACAAATGGGCCTCTATGCAGTGCCCTCCTGTTGGTTTCTTCCTATGTTCTCCCCTCTTCCTGCATGCTCCCTTTGACAGCTGAAACATACAAGGGAGTTGATCAGGCAAGACTAGATGTATTGTGAGGCTACAAGTGTACCCCTCCAGACTTATGAAAGCCCAGCAGAAAATTTAAGAAAAATTGTGTAAGTGTAAGGTGCTGAGAAGAGAAAGAGGGTGGTGGACCAGGGGTGGCTGCTCTGATGTGCCATTTGGACCTTGGTGGAAGGGTGGTCGCTGGCAGCAGCATAGGCAAGTTTCCCCAGAGTAGGGGGGGTCTTCACTGCTTTCCACTTGTGGCTGCGTAACCAGTCACGGCAACCCACAATGAAAATGCTCTCTTGGGCTTGAATGACACAACCACCCATCTGGGTACAAGCACCACTAGAGCAAACCGTGGCGACTAGTTCACCAAAAAAGGTCATCCAGAGAGAAGAGGTCTGGGCTCACACGATGCAACGACCCACTGATAGCTGCCCACAATAGGCTGTCACGTTGGGTGCACCCGGTTATCTGACAAAGATTCGATAGAGTCAAATTGGATTTTTTTTTACTAATACTCAGACTTATTGAAGTCTGAGAAATATATCTGTATTGTTTATTTTCACCCATGCATTGATGTATTCATTTTAATGTGTGATAGCGCACATGTGTAATATCATTTTTGTATCGACATATGTTCCTGTATGGTCAGTAATATACGGGATAATACCAGGTTCAATATTGTGTATACATCTTGGGTCTTTGGCAGAACTGGATTTATATCATGACTAGTTTAAATCATGTTGATTTCAATGTATCTTCTCTAAGTATTACCAACCCAATGCCTTCAAGAGAATCTCCAGGGCATATTGTTTTAATCATTATTCAAAAACTGCAACTACTAACTGCACTGTGACATGTCTCTAAATTAGGAATTTGCTTATGAATTGATTTTGATATAACACATCATGTGTGTTCTTGTCCTCTAATTCCCAGTAAGTGACTTTCCAATTTTCTCATCCCATAAAACTGGCTTTGTTCTTGGAATTACTGTAGATAAGGATTAAAAAAAGGTTTGGGTATTAAAATTCTCTCTTTTTATCTTCCTCTCCCTGAAAAGCAATTCTTGCTGTACGAGAGATTTTGTTTAGATCAGTGTCTTCAGTGATTTAGTTAATAACAGAATAATAATTCAAAGGAAATAGCACTGAAAATAATGTTGTTAGGTCTGTTGAGAGAGGTTTGTTTATAACCCACCTTTCTCCTTTCAAAAAACAGAACATATGTACTCAAGTATTTTGCTACTTTTGTATAAAGATCCTTGGAAACTTTTCAGTTCTGTTTACTCTTTGTTCTTTGCAATTTAACCCTAATAGTTCAGCTTTTGTCACATTAAGGATGCAGTCCTACACACACACTTGTCTTAGGAGGATTATTAATCAAACACAGGATTATTAATTAGATGGTTAATGCCATCAATCTTCTTTCTGTGTGTGTCCATGCATGTTTACGGTTGACATATCCTTAGGGTGCTTCCAGAGAGGTCTTCATGACATCGAGCAGAAGGCTTTGTGTAGTTCCTCCATCTTTTTCCTTTCAACCAATATTCTGGGGTGACAAACAGGGTGGGGGGAAATGGGAGGGTAAGAACTGGAAAAACACATTGGGTGAGACCCTTATAAAAATCCATGAATGAGACAGGGCATTGGTAGGATACATGCTTTGCCTGGAAGCATGTTGGAGTCAAGGAACAAGCATGCTTTTGAGCACATGTTCAGCTGAGGAATTGGTTCTGTTCTGTTCGGTTTTTTACCATCATGTGGCAAAACACTCCTGCCTGTCCATCTCAGCTCTCTTCCATCTCAACAGATTCACTGTTGCCTTTAGTAAAAAAAAAACACTGTGTGTCAGAAACTTGGTGATTGATGGCAAATGTCCAGAAAATGTCCTTCAATCTTCCCCTGTGAGACTGATGGAGCTAGGTCTTTTCAGCCTAGAGGAGACTCCGAGGGGATCTGTTGGCAACATATAGGTACTTGAGGGGGTGCCATGTGGAGGTGGGTAGAGACCTGTTTTTCCCTGCAGAGGAGGGCAGGTTGCATTCCAGTGGAACAAAGCTCAGGGAACAAGGTTCAATATGGATGCCAGGAAGTACTTCCTGACAGTCAGGACCCCAAGGGTATGGAATGGGCTTCCATGGGAGGTAGCTTGAAGCCCCATCAGTGAGGATGTTCAAGGATAGGCTGGACATGCACATGGTAAGCATGTCATGAGCGGAGCTGGCTGGAGCCAGGGGTCAGACTAGATAACCCAGGAGACCCCTTCTGACTCTGTTTCCATGTTTCCTTCTGTCCACCCTGTCCTATAGTAACACTTGCCCAGAAGTATGTGTATCTCATCGGTGTATTAATCCAGAGGAGCTGCAGAATAGCTTTTAGACATCAGACGGATAATCCTTTAGCTATGTTGACTGCTTTTAGAATATGTTTCTTGTCAACTGTTTCCTTCCTCAATATTTCCTCGCATTTCTTAAACAGAAGCCAGCTATTAGGAGTCTAATCTGAAGAGAGTGCATATGTATTTGCACACTGCAAACACATGCAGGGCGTGATCCTCTGTGCTTGATGCCTTGTAAGGGCCTGAGCATGGAGGCCTGCATGCATCCAGTGCCGGGTGCAACGTGTGGAGGTGCCCACCTCCACCGCTCTGCCCCTCACACCTGACCTCTCATCTAAAGGGCCAGTTTCAGCCGTCTACATGAAGTGCCCCTGGGTGGCAGGAGGATGCTGGGGCACCAACAAGAGACGACACAAGCTGTTGGCTCCAGCATCCTCCCCAGGCACCCCTGCGGTCCTCTCCAAGCCTGATTCCCAACCTCAGAGAGGCAGATGACATGGCTCTTTCTGTGGCAGCTGGGAGTGGGTAGGGCTGGGGTTCTGTGTTCAGCGTCTCAGCTCTAACCAAGGTCCTCTGACCTCAGAGGTGAGACTCAGAAAAATCCCACCCGTTTTCCAGATGACGTCAGGATCCCACTGGATTGCATCCTTAAGGTGCAATCCTATGATGTTTAGACAGCAAAAGCCTACAACTGTTGTATTTTAATTTAATATTTATATTTTTAATTTATATTATAATTATTTTAACTTGATGATGTGAGCCGCCCCGAGGCTTCGGTGAATGGGGCGGCATAAAAATGTTTTAATAAATAAATAAAAATAAATAAATAAACTGTCAGCACATTGGCTGTGAGAACTGCAGTCCCTTTTTCCTGCTTAAACTTGCAAAGGATTGCACCCTTCTAATGTGACAGGTTCCAGACTTTGTCCTTCAGTTGCTAAGTAACTAAACAATTATAAACTAATCTTGCGATTGTGAAATCTATGGATGTTTTCAAAAGCACTGTGGCAAACTGAAGAACAACTTCAGAGACATGCATTCAGAAGTCTCTCCCCTCCCTTTGCGCCTTTGTGTGCGCGCATCATCCCTCTCGCACAGACATGCACGCCCCTCCCGTTCTGATGCCTTCCCCGATTCTCTTACCCCCTGCTCCACCTGCCCCTGCTGGCATGCCCCCATCCCCTCCATCCTCTCCATGCAGCAAAAAAAGCCCCACTGAAACCACGGCGGCAGTTCACCCCCAAATGGAGGGGATGGGGGCATCACAGCACATGAGGAGAGCAGCCTCTTCCCTTCCCATTTGCCACCCCACTGAGTATGACACTCCCTACACAGTATTGAGGCCGCCAGATTCAAAGTGGTCGTGAGCAGCAAGCCCCGACCCTGATTTACAGGAGGTGCAGTTAAACCCCACCTCTGACACAGACTCACGGAGCAAATTTAGGGAAAGACCTCTCTCGGCCTCTGTAAAATGGTGTTTACCACAAGCTATTTTGTGGGGCTGCTGAACGTAATAGAGATTAAGCTGCACATTGCTAATTAAAAGCATTCTATAAAATGACTAGTAACAAAGAAGAGAAGTGCTGGCAAAAAGGATGCACAGTTATATACTCTGTTATCATTTGCTTTTGTCCAGCTTGTATTTTTATCCAAACTAAGAAAGCTAATTCTGCTATAGTAAGTGGTAGAAAGCCATACAGATGGGTCTAAGTCCTTGGGAAGAACAAGCTCAGTTCAGACAGACACACCTATCTTTATAGCTATTCACACGTATGAACCTTGTACTTGACTCTTGTCATAACAATGCAGTCAGAACAACAAAGGTAGCCCACAAAAAGCAAAAAGAAAACAATCATCTAGGTCAACTTCCCTCCAACCTTGGCCCTTCCAAATGTGTGAAAAGAGGATGCCTATCATCCCAGTACACTGTCTGAGGTTGATAGGAGTTCTAGTCTGACATATCTGGAGATCCCCAAGCTGGGGAACAGTCAGTCTGGGCCTACATATGGCTTGCTATTTAAAAAAAAAATTAAAAAAGCAAAGAATATCTTGCCACATGCAAAACGGCTAAATCTTTGGAGAGTGAACCAGAACACCCAAAGCAGAAGAGACTCTTGGGGGCTATATTCCAGTGGTGGGTGAGGCTGAAGGAAAAAGGGATGAGATTAAAAAAAACCAAAAACCAGGAAAGGTTGTGACCTCCTGAGGACCAGACTGAAGCCTCCAGAAGACCAGATATGGATGCCAGCCTGAAGCTTTGCATCCCTTAATAAAGCAACCAGGTGGTGAGTACAAGGAACACATATTGTAGAGAAGTACTACATAACGGACCACATCTGGGAGAATAATAGCTAATTCAGCTTGAAAGAGAGCATAAGAACATGAGAAGATCCCTGCTGGATCAGACCAAGGATTCATCTACCCAGCTTTCTGTTCACATTGTGGCCAACCAGCTGTCCCCTGGATCCCTCAAGCAGCATACGAGTACAACAGCCCACTCCCACAAAGCTTTCCCAGCAACTGGTGTACATAAGCACACTGCTTCTGATGCTGGAGGTAGCATATATCCACAGGACTAATAGTCACTGATAACCTGCTACTCTATGACTGTATTCATACTCCTTTTAAAGCAATCTGAATTGGTGGCCATCGCTACATCTTCTGCAAGTGAATTCCATGGTTTATGCACTGTGTGAATATCAGTTCTGAACCTCCCATACATCGTCTTCCTACCAAAAACAGTCTTTAAAAAGGTACACCAATATGTCATCTCTGCTTTAAAAAGGATTTTCAGAGACTTAAAAGCTTTGTGCTGCCTTTAAGGATTCATTAGAAACACCCTTTGTCCCTCTTGTAACATAGCCATGATCTCATAATATTTTCCCTTTTATATTCCTTATGGATTTGAATTCATTTAGATTAAAATGCAGCCATGAATTTAAGCAAATTACAATTTAGCACCAGTACACATGATGCTCATTGTTTGATCTCTTATCACTCAACAACACCCTGCTGGTTGTAGGAACTCTGTTGAGAAGATCTGGGTTCAAGACAATACAAAAATTCTTCTTTATGGGTTTTCAAAGAAGAGAACATAACCATTCGGTACATATGTCCAGTTATATTGTGAGTAACAAATGCATAGTTGGATTAACAAATTTAAGTCCTCATCTTTCATTAGATTCAGAAGGAGAAGCATGGAATAAATACATTTATCTGTTATTTTTACCTTTGATCAATATTTACTGGTATGGTTTGTCTTTATGCTTTGTACACAACCCCAAATTCCAGTATGAAGGATGCTGTATTTTAAATGGCTTAATCTTGAGTTCTTTGGAGAAAAGGCAGGATATAAAACTAATTAAAAGTCAATATGTGTAATTCAGTTCTGGGTAATAGATTCCTGTAGTAGCTTTGGGTTACAATACCCAGGTAACAGCCCAATGGTCAGGAATGATGTGTGTTCTGGCCAATACACCCAGTGACTACTCAGTTTCATGCCCCTAATGTAGTCACTTCAGGAGCAAAAGAGAGGAATAATCTGCAAAAGTGCTCAACTTGGTTCACCTCCATTGCATGGGAATAAGAGACTCGGTGTGGTGTGGTGGATAGAAAATTGCACTGGGGAAACCCAGGGACTAGTCTCCGTTCAACTGTGAAGCTCACTGAGTTACTTTCACCCAGTTGTGGAATCTCAGCCTAACCTACCCCACAAGATTGTTATTAAAAATGGAATGGGGAACTACATAAGCCCCCTTGGGTTCCTCAGAAGAGGGGAAGAAGGCAGGATAGCAATGTAATCACGATCTTTTAAGGAAAGCAAAATATAGCAAAACATAACACAAAATGGAATGAAACTGCAGGAGTGTCCCCAAATATATGCTATTTCTTTAGCCACAGACTCTTACCTTCAAAGAACTGTTGCAGGGCCTCTTTTTCACCTACTACATCCATCGGCAAGGGAGGAAAAGGTCCAGTTGTCACACACTTTTAGAGTGCTCAGTCTTCCTGAACTATTTATGACAACTATGACAACTTTTCAGAGGGTTGTGAGCATGTCCAAAAGTCCAGTGTTTCATTCTGCCTGAAAACCCACCAACTGTCACAGAAAACTTAATCCTTTGCTAGTGAGCTCCACGTTAACTTGGGAAGTTTCTAAATGAAAAGAGTGAGCCACAATTTGAGGACAAAAGGTACAAGCAACATTATCCCTTCACCACAGCAATTACTGATTTCCTTCCTTGTTTTAAGGACCTTTACCCTCTAATTCATTTACCATGCAATATATGAGCAATTAAGGTTGCTTATCTATTTACTGTCCTTCCTCATATGTTTATGTGTAACAAGAAAAATGCTGCATATAAATAAAGCACAGCAATTTTAAAATCCTTGTTTAAAATGCAGCTATGAACCATGTTTCAAATGCAAAAACAAAACCAAAAAGCCCTCCTATAAATTTCCAGAGGCCTGGTTTGCACAAAATGACAACCCGGAATATGGATTGCATACGTGTTATCATTGACTCATGGGTTGTCATTATGTTCCAATAGATATTCCAACGATATTTTAACTGTTGTTATCTTCATTTATTGGTTTTTCTACTTTGCCGAGATGTATCCAGATTTTAAGGTTTATTTTACATGTTTGTTGCTTTGTACTTTGAAAGCCGCCCCGAGGCTTTTTGCGAAGCGGGTGGCATAAAAATGCTTTAAATGAATAAATAAATAGTGCACTATGGTTTAACTATGGGTTGTCAACCACAAACAACCCAGAAAGAGAACCCAGGGTCTTCCTATTGGGTTGTGAACATTGGGTTGTGAACATCAGAGTTCTTAGCCACACACATAATGGCAACCCACAATTCAATGCTCAGGGTTGTCATTACAGACTAATCTGCTTTAATTCCTGTGGTTGGTTGGTTTGCAAATAGAGCTCCAATATTAACTTCCAATTTCTCTTTCTGTTTACCCTTCAGAGCAGGAGCTTTAATCATGGCCTTAATGGAAAAGTGAAACTTGATAAGCAATCAAGGAACCAGGACCAGCTTACGAGGAAGCACACCTAAACAGGTGCAAGCAGGAAAGGAGGAAAGAGGAAGGTGGTAGCAGAAACCCTGCCAAGGCAGTGGCAAGGGACACCACCGTGGCAGCAACACTGGCCCACATAAGACTGGCACGGAAGGGCTGATATTTATGCCCAAGGACAAACAGCCTGAGATGCATCCAGACACTTAGCTCCTAGTGCTATCAAAAAGTCTTGCACAGCTCTTCTGTCTTTCCCTCCTTGATGAAGATGTTGCAGTAAGAAAAGATGGAGGCACCCATGGGAAAACACAGAAGAGTTACAAAGGCATGACAGAGTCTGAAACTCCCATTACATTTTATGAACAAAGTGATCGCCCAGCCCACAGCTGGAGGCCCTCTGTGAGAAAAATACATGGTGGTGATGACAGTAAGGGGGAGGTAACACCATTTCACTGCAACACAAAGCCACTTACAACGGGAAAGGGAAGCATTTCATATCAATTCCACTCCTCCAAGTATCACAGGCAGTAGGTAGAAAGCTCCCATGCCAGAGGAATCTCTCACTGGCAATGGAGCAGGGCTGTTAACTGCGCATGTTTTATTTTACAATGCAGGGATGGCAGGGGTGGGGGGAGTTCCATTTGCTTCCCAACACGAGTTAACATGCTAAGCAGAGTCCACATCAGCCGTCTACATGGCCCACTGCAGCCTCGTTACCCATGTACTTGGGAATAACAAAGCAAAGGTATCAAGTGCCTGGCAAGCCAGCAGTATTTGGCTTGGAAGGTCATGCACTGTGCAAGCCTGTGGTAGAGGAATGGAGATGGATACCCGCTGTCTCAAATTATTAGAATTAGAAAAGCTCTGAGAGATTAGAAATATGAGAGAAATTAGCAATCCCAAAGTCTTATGCAAGCTTAGATATGCAAGGCTCTACACCAGAAATTTCAGTGGCTGAAGAAAACAACTCCATAGCTCCTACCACTGCTGCATAAGTTAAACAACTTCAGGTACTGCCTATAGCTTAGAATTGTCGCATAAAAGCATTTCACCTGGGTGACTGGGTTCCTGAGTTTTAAACAAAGGAAGGTTACCAGAAGAAACATATGAAGTTAAAAGGCCAAAGAGCTGGGAAAACAAGATGTGTTCATGTGCGAAGCTCACCAGGGAACATAAACAAGATGCAGTTGATCAGTGGAGTTTGGAAGAGAAGGCCAATGGACACAGAAACTTCCCAGATAATCCCAAAGTCTGAAGCAAAGATCAGAGCAGCACCAGCAAGGGAAGTGGCAATTCTTTGGCATCATGAGATACTCACCGGATACTCACCGGGTATTGGACGGGGTAAAAATACCCAAATAAATAAATAAATATTTCCAAAACTTCCCTCCCTGACACTTTTATAAAAAAACTGCCACCTGAATAAAATACCTGGTGTAAGCTGTGATGCCAGCAGCGATTGCCACTGCCATGCCTTGTTCTAGATACAGGATGCATGCAAGCCTCTACATTCAGAGACTTTCATGCACCAAGGGTGTGGGGCATACGGCTGTGCCCTTGGTCTCTATCCTACTGTGAAATCCTGGCTGTTTTAGCATAGCTATACTCCTACTTCAGGTGGTAACACTAGACTTGTCATGTTCTAAGCAGGACCTGTTTTCCTTTCATGCATTGGCCATGCACAGCACTTCCCGTATTCCTTTGAGGTGATGGTTCCATTGCACGTTCCAAGGTATCAAATATTGTAATGGGGAAGGATAAAACTTCTAAAATGACACATTAATTACTATTGGATTTGCAATAAGTAACTAGAAGATAACAAACATCACTGGCAACAACTAGATTATTTTTGGTATCCTTAATTGGCAGTGGGTGACAATTTCCTTTCTTATGCACCACCCTCCACTGAAGTGCACATTCGCTTGCAGAAGTCAACCCTGACTGTTCTTTTGAAGGGGCGATACTGAAGTTCAAATACTTTGACCTCCTAATGAGAAGGAAGGACTCACAGGGGAAAAAAAAGCTCCAGTTGCTGGGAACAATTGAAGGCAAAAGAAGGGGATAGCAGAGGATTTGGTGGCTGGATGGAGTCACTGATGCAGCGGATGTGAGGCTGGGTGAACTCCAGGAGGCAGTGGAGGACAGGAAAGCCAGGTGTGCTGTGGACCACGGGGTCACAACTGTGTGAGTGAACAAGCCAAGATGCTCACCTCTAGTATGAACATTTATCTAGTGATTTACACTGAAGTCTCAAACATGAAAATGCCCTCCCCTGCTGGATGTCTTAGCTTTTCCGAGATAGTGTATTCCATGTTTGGACATAATTTGCTCCCACCTCAATTTGAAACTGGAGACTGGTTCTTCAACATGAGAGGACCGCAGCAGTACGATATTGCCCCTCGCCCTCAGAACAAACAAACAGTCAGAAGTACTTTAGAGCACACATTTTCAGTGCCAAAATGAGATGTAAGAGAGAAGCAGTAATAACCAGCCAAGAAATTCTGACAATTTGTTCAACAGCATATGGGATTGTAAAATAACATTCTGCAGTCAATTTACTTTAATTCTATCCACTGATGCAAGTCACTGTTGTTGGTTTTTTTACTCAGCCTGCATGATGCATATTAAAAGAATACTGACTGAATGACCCAATGTTATTCAAGGGAATTTTCAGGACGCCATCAATATAAGTTGAGTATCTCTGCAAAAGCATTTGATTTCCTTGTTTATCATACAATCCAGACTGAATGAAAGTGGTACCAGGTTACTAGAAACAGTGGCTAAATAATCCAGCCCTCTATGTTAAATTTGTTCAAATGTCACACTATAATCAGTAATTTGCTTCAAAGCTCAGACAGACACCATGGAAGGATGGTGTACAAGGCAAGCAGAAATGGCCCTCCAACATTCACCAGAGCCATTTTCTCTTTAAAAATTGAAGAGCTGTTACAGATAATCTCTACTCATTTGTGTCCATCTCACATTGTGCTATTAAAAATACAACTGGGGTTATTTTATAGATTGTCTGGGCAGGAAAAAGGATAAGCAGAAAAGTACAAGATGAGGGAGGACGTGGAAAGGAAGCCTCCAGTACTGGAGGTAGCATGTCTCTAAATACCAGTTGATGGGGAACATGGACAGGAGAGTGCTGTTGTGCTCATGTCCTGCTTGAATGCTGGACTAAAGGGATCCCTGACCTGATCCATCATGGCTAGGAAATCCTCAAGAAAAAAGGAGGCTCTCTTACCCTTACAAGCATTTGGTTCTTTGATACAGACAGCATGTGTCACCAATGATCAGCTGTTAGCTACTTAACATAATAAAACTCATGCTGTTACCACCACCACAAGCTGTTCCTCCTAAAAATCAACTAACATTTCAAAGAACTTGCTCTTTTGTGTATTGTCCTATTCTCCTGCTCCAAGCTATTGATACAGAATTGCCGGTACTAATGGGAATACCCATACAATACCCATTTTTGCTTTACGATTTCCAGAACGCACACAAAGCTTTTTAAAAGTTTCAGATATGACACAGCTCTAACTTTAATTAATGTTTATTATGCTGAAACCCTATAAACTGTCCAGAAGACAAAAATGAACACATATAGCATTTAACCTACATTTCTCAGACAGAGGTTACAATCACTAGTACACCTGAAAATCCTCTTGTCTTTACTTTAAAAGGAATAGTGATCATTCTTGCATAAGATTATTTTGTTGAATTATAAGAGCAGATTGTGCAATTTGCACAGAAGAAGATATCTTGAACCCATTTCAAAATAAATACCAAGTGACAAGTATTTAGAACTTATTTGAAGATATGTACATCTATGGAAGTTCATGCAAGCTCCAAAAGTGTAGCAATTACAGTTCTTCCTTGTAATATCCAAGTTTTGCCAGAGACATCTCTTTCCTTAGCTGCATGACT